GCAGATGCAATAGTTGCATAGTTTAAGCTCATTTGTTTCATTTGCTGAGTCAATACTTCAATATCCTTTTCTAATTTATGAGTATTATTGCTTGAAGATGAGATTGGTTCTATCTGTTGAGCAAAGTCTTTTCCTTGTTCATATCGTTGAACTAATTGTCGAGTATCATTTAGATTTCCAGGATTATAAACATGATTATGGGTAACAGTTCAGGTTTTACACCTTTTTTAAAGTAATATAACTATTGAGCAGTATTAGTAATATTATATCTTTTGATTAATTTATTGAATTTACTATAATATAATTCTATTGCTTCATCTGTTCCTTGTTTAATAGCTTCTAATTCACGTAGCTATTTATTTTTCCATCGTTGAGTATAGAAGTTAAATTTAAAGTTATCTGTGATAGCGGTCCAGAGATCACTCCAATTTGGTGTTCCTGCTGTATTTTGAGTTGCATAGAAGGTTGTTTGCCATTTATCAGCAACTCCATGCAAGAAACCAGGAAGAATATCTCTTTTTCTTTTACTATTCTATCTATTAGCAGTAGCAGCTTTCTCAAAGCATTCCATCCAAGTATATGGGTCCTGAGTACCATCACCAGTAAATGGCTCTACTTTAAGCAGAAGGGATCCACTGGTATTTGCTTTAAGGTAGTTCATAATATCATCAGTTGTTGCAGCCATTGTTAGGTTTATAAATAAAAGAGGATTATTTAAAGGTGGTAGGTATAGAGTTGTCGATAAGGAAGTATTGAATAATAAATCAGAAGTAGCTATCTGATTATTATAAAATAGTAATTCTACTAGAGAGTTTAATTAGGTATAAGCGTTTAGGATTTGTTGTATTCTTTCTATGAGTTGATTAAGAGGTTCAGTGTTATCTAGTTCTTCTTTAAATAAATGAAGTGGGTTTTTCTCAAAACAGTCAGTATATAATGATAATACTGCAATTCCTCTGATTATTTCACAAATATCACCAGATGAGTTGTTGTATCTAATACTATATATTATCTTAAAAATAAGATTTTTGTGTTGCGATAATTCAAATTGTAAATAAATATTCCTAAAATTATTAAAGTATTCTAATGTTTTGCTAGTAAAGTTTACTGCAGGATATTGTTTACTATACCAAGTAATAAAATTATGAAAAGGAGTAAATAATATAGAAGTTAAAATAGGGTAACAGATATCACAAGAATCATCTGGTTCAATAAGTAGATTCAAAGTATGTTGTTTTTGATGTCTAATTATGTTTGTTAAATGCTTTGTAAAATCAAAAATCATTCAAAATTAAAACTTAAATATACTAAATCAGAGAAATAAATTATAAAGGGGGGTTTCTTATGCCTACACTTTGGCTCGTAGGGAACAATTAAAAGAATAAGAGAGAAAGACTTTTACAAGTCAATAGTAGCTTCAACTTGTTTGAGTTGAGCAAAATAAAGGTCAGCAAGCTTTAAATTTTTTATAGTAAAGATAAAAGAATAGTCTGTTTGTTCAGTTGAATCAATTAATTTATCAATTTCTTTTTCAAGATAGTCTTTGTAAGAAGGTGCCTTCAATACTTGAGTGTTCTCAATATATTGTAGTGTTTGTGAAATTGTAATTCCTTATCTAGTCATAGATATCACTCTCTATAATTAGAAAAGAATTGTTCTTTGGTTCTTTGCGGTCCTAATAGTGGTCAAAAATCCAAATTCAGTTGGGTATTCACTGAGATATTAGCATCCAAAGTTTGTGTAACCAACGTCATTAGGTTTCTTGAAGAAGCTTTCTTTAACTTTCTTTGCAGATCAAAATCGCTGAAACTATTTTGAAACGCGAATAGCAAGTTTCAGAAAGATTTTCTACTAAGGTAATGTTTAGTATAAAAGATGCAGTAGGTTTTCAAGAATATTTAGTAAAAATTTCAGGTAGATTGATTCAAAACTGATCGACTTTTCTTAGTAGCGAGTAACTTCAATTTTCTTTAGTAAAGGAGAACTTTATCTCATAGTCACCACCAAATTGTCAAACAGGGAATTCACCTCTTCTAGAGTTCCCAGAGACTGCTGATTATAGTATGAAGACT